GGGGGGGGGGGGGGGGATGTCGGCCAGCGGCCGTGGACGGCGCGCTGGCGGGAACACGTACAGAGCGCGCGGCGGCGAGCCGGGCGACGGAGGACAGGCCGAAGGCCTGGGCGCGGCTGAGCAGAGACATGGCGTTCAGGCGGGCAGCGGGACCGAGGCAGGGGGTAGGGGGTGTGAAGGGGGAGGAAGAGGGGGAGGGGGGTGACTGCCAGAGAGGGGAGGGGGCGGGGTGCGGAGAAGGCAATGGGGGGGGGGTGCGCTGGAATCCAGAAAAGGCAGTGTGTGGGACGCCAGCGAGTGATGCGAAATAGATGGCATGAGAAATGGCTCGGCCCTCCTCCTGCCTCTCGGCGCCGGCCCCAATGCCCCCGGGGCACACACACACACACACACACACACACACACACACTTGCACTCTGGACGAGGGGCCAACAAGGGCCCCCGAGCTCGACGCGGCCCGCGTCCCCGTCACCACCCGTACCCCCCCCCCCCGGTGCCACTCCGACCCAGCTAAGGCCGGCGGGCCCGGGGGCCGGCACCCGCATGTGGCGGGGCAGAAAGCCGGCCACAGGGAGCAAACCAGACGCAGAGAGAGAGAGAGAGAACGAGAAAGAGCGCGGGCAGGACCGCACAGGGGTCGGCTCCGTGCGGAGGCTCCTCCGCGGCCTTCGGCCCGGGCCCAGCCGGTCGGCTCCATATGCTCCATCTCGCACCCCGGGGGCAGGGAAAGTCCCCCGGGCGTGTGCGGCGCCCCCGGGGCCGAGCCATCTCTCTCGCTTCATCTCGCCGGCGCCCGGGGCCAGGCCCCATTGCCGCGAGGGGGCTCGCATGCGAGGCACCCTCTCGCAGCCGTGCCCGACCGGCATCCGCGCTTGCGTGCACCCCCGCCCACCCGCCCCATCCCCCATGATGTCCCCCCACCACCCGGAGAGGGGAGGCCCCGGGGCCGGCGCCGAGGCAACGCTCAGCATGGGTGGGCACTTGGCCCGGCCACCGCACCAGGCGCAAACCGGCTGGCTCGCTTTCCCCGGCCATTTTTCGCCCCCCGGCCGTCGTGCATTGGGAAGCACGGGCCTGTGTGTGCGTGCGCGCGTGCGTGCGTGCAGGTGCGTGTGCGTGCAGGTACGTGTGTGTGTGTGTGTACGCCTCTTCATCCTCCGGGCCGGACACTCTCGCGCAAGCACATACACCCACGGCTGTGCCGTGCCCCGCCCCAGGGCGCCCGCCCCCAGCCCCAGGAGAACCAACACACCAGGCCCAAAGGCGCCGTCCTCCCCGCCCTCGCCGCCCACGCCCCGCACCCACCCACCCACCCCCCCACCCACCCGACATGGCCCGGGGCGTCCTCGCCGCAACCTGCCCGGGGGCCCACGCCAAATCAGCGCCACACGGCGCCCCGGAGACAAAGTCCTCTCGCGTTCTCCGCCCCCCTGGCCCGAGGCCGGCCGTGGTCGAGGCACGACCGCCGCCGGCGGGGCAAATGCCCTCGGAATCGGTGTTTGTTTCGGGGGGAAATCCCCGAGGAATGGCGTTTCCCTAGAATGTTATAAGTGATGCGTGATTCTTCACACGAATAACGTGTGCTGGTCGTGCACGCGCCCGATCGGCCGGCCTGGGAGGCGTGCCGGGATGGCTTCGGCGCCCCCTGCCGCGCCCCCCTGGGGCAACACACTCGCACGTATGGCCGGCAAGTCTCCCCCGCGGCGGGACCAGGGAAGCGGGGAAACACGGGTCGACGAACAGGGAAGAATAAACACGCCTTCCGGCCCTCCCCCCGGCATCGGGCAGTTGAAGGGCCGTCGACCCGCTGCCCTCTCCGCCCTTGCGCCGCCGGCAACTCCCCTCTTCCTGTCTCCCCCCCCCCCCCCCTCCGCCCTCCCACGCCCACGCATACGCGCGCCTGCACACGCACACGCACACACACACACACACACACGCATCAGCATCAGCATCACCAGCATCATGTCCGCCTCCCGCATTGCCGATTACCTGCACAAGGGCCTTGCCTTCGGGCTCGTCGCCTCCACCATCTACCTTGGTGGGTTCCTCTTTGTGTGCGTTCCCCCCACCCCCCTTCCTCCCTCCCCTCTCTGCCGCGCCTGTCTCGGTGCAGCGCACGCGCGCAAACCAGCCACGGTCCCATCTCTAACGCCCCCTCTTTTCCCTCCACTGCCCCCCCCCCCCCTCCCCGATTGGCGCGCCCCTTGCAGCACCGTCCGGGCGGCTTACGCGAACGCCCTCGCTCGTGCCGACGAAGTCCGTGCCCAGCGGGCCCTGGCTGCCGCCGCCAGCGGCGAGACCACCGACGTCGCTGACATGCTGGCCCCTGAAGTCGTGACGGGTGACGCATCGCCCACCATGGCGGACTTCATTCTGCAGCAGGAGAACGCCCCGCCCGCCATCCTCGATACGACGACCGGCACCTCCGCTAGCCAGTAGAGATCCGACTGCCCTGTGCGCACGCACACGTATACGATGTACTTTTAGTCCCCCCCCCCCACACACACACACACACCATACCCCGTCCTCATTGCTCCTCCCTGTAGTGTCTCAAATCATAGAATGGTCGCGCCTCGTGCGCCGTCTGGCGTGTGTTATTTTCCCGCACGCGCACGCACAGCCGAAAAATACAGGTCCACGAAATGCCACCGACAGAGACCCGGAAACAAGGGTGGGGGCGGGAGGGAAGAACCCGGCGTCCCCTGTTGTGCGCGTGGCTGTGCAAGCGGAAAGCAGGACAAATGCCAGGGGCAGGAGGCGAGGAGAGAAAGCAGTAGAGCCGGCGCACGCGGAGCGCGCCCTTCATTCAAAAGGGGGAACTATGATACAAGAGGGGAGGGGGAAGGGGGCCAACCCGCGGGAGGATGGGGAAAAGACAGCAGGCCATGCCGATCTCTCACTGGATGTACCGCTTCATGAACTTGCGGTGGAAGTCTGACCGGAGAATGTCATTGACATAGCTGCGATCCTTGTTCGCATCGGCCTGATCGTCGCGCGTGCAATTCTTGAAGATGGTGTCCTCATACCACCTGCGTCGTGGAGGAAGCGCCGGGGGAGGGAGGGAGACCGGGAAAGAAAGGGGAGAGACTGGTCAGTCGGAGGGAAGGAGGCATGCGCATCACACAGGGGGGAGGCAGGAGGTAGAGAGACGGAGACAGGGGGAAGGAGAAGCGAAGAAGGGGAACTCGGCCCACCAGTGGGGGCAGACAATGACGCACTTCTTCTTCAGCTGGAAGGAAGCGCCCTCGGCGCCGGGCTGCAGCAGGGGATTGGCGGTGAGCGCCTCGCGATCAAGCTCGGCCTCGCGCTCGGCGTGCTCCTGGTCGGCCCTGGCTTGGGCAGCGGCCGCGCGCTCACGACGGATGGCCTCCAGCTCGCGCTGCAGGGCCGCCTCATCGTCGTCGTCGTCGTCGTCATCATCATCATCATCATCATCGTCAGCAGCACTGTCGTTGTAATCCTCGTCGCTCGATCGCCCGGATCCGGCGGCACCCGCGGGGCCCTCCTCGTCCGACAGGGAACCCGGGGCGGGGCGCTTGTTCGGGCCGGCGGCATCGCGGCGGTCCGCGAGCGGGCGCTTGCGCGAGGACACCTCCTCGTCGGCTTCGTAAACAACATCGGCATCCAGCTTGGAAACTGGCGGCACATGGTGTCAGCGGGGCGGGACACAGGACAGCGGGTGGGAGGGAGGGGAGGGCACAAGGAACCCGACAGGCCGAAGGAAGGGGAAAAAAAAAGCCGAGCACGCACACTGCTCGAGGTCGGAGAAATCGCCATCCGACAGGTCGCTCGGCAGGAGGCTAGCATCATTGAGAGACCCCATGGCGCGCTCGACGTATGCCGTGGCGGCCAGCGCGTCGCCGAGCGACGTCCGGGGGGGCTGACCAGCATCCTCATCATCCGAGGAGGAGGCGCCCTCCACGGGGGCGGGCTTCACCGTGCCGAAAACCTCGCCGCCACCAGCGGTGGCCGGCACCGCGGGAGCATCGCCACTGTCGCTGTGGGGGGGGGAGAAAGGGAGAGAGAGAGAGAGAGAGAGAGAGAGAGAGAGAGAGAGATGGTTAGGCTCACATGTGCAATGCGCGGGCGCAGGTGGGAAAGGGTGGCTGCGAAGGAGACAGGGCCAGGCCACGCGGGGCAGACGTGCGCGTACCGGAACTTCAGCGGCACCAGGTTGCCGTCCTTGGCCGAGACGGTGGTGTTGGCCCCGGGAGCCACGCCGGAGGTGGCGATGGCCGGGTGGAAGGTTGGCCGATGCGACGTGGTCATCTCGGTGTGGTGTTGCGTGCGGGGAAGGGAGGGCTGGGCGGGCGGGCGGGCGAGGGGGGAGGGGAGCGGGCGAGGCAGAGGAGGGGATATGTGTGGGGGGGGGGAGAGAGAGAGGACTGTCGATGACACAGGGCCCTCCGCCTCGGGCGTTCACCAGCCCCGCCCTTCTGTCTCTATCTATCTCGGTTTGTCCGCCGGGCTCCACGCCTGTCCGGTCGAGGGCCCCGGAGGGCGGCAGGCGCGCCAAAAACACACACACACACACACACACACTTGCAGGCGTGGACTCCCCGCCAAAGTGTGCAGGCGCATGTGCCCGCACAACGGCCGACTGCCGGCGGCCAGGGGAGGCCCGGCCCTCCCTCCCCCCGCGCCCGGGGGGGCGGGGTTTCCCCCAACGGAAGGGACAAATCCGTGTGGAATCACGTGCGGCCACGATCGCCGCCTTCATCTCGCGGTGTCCTGCTCTGTGCGTGGGGATCGGCCTCGGCATCCAGCCTCCCCGCCTGCCCACCTCTCCGCCTCTCCGCCGCTTGCGCCTGCACACGCAGTTTGGTCCCCCCTCCCCCCTCCCTCCCCCCCCCTCCGCTTCCCTCTTTCTTTCTATCCCCCCCCCCAACACCTCGGCCATGGAAGTGTGCGTTGTCGAATGCGGCCCTTTTGCCCTGCCTTGCCGTGCTGGCTGAGCCGGGACTCACCCACCGCGCATGTACACGCACGCATTTACCATATGTATGTTTGTTGTGCGCAGCCTCGAGCTGCCCACGGCGTACCTCAGTGACTTTGAGGTCCTACAGGCCATCTTGCAATCTGAGCAGGAGCGCGCCTCCCGCGAGGGCGGTGGCGGCGGCAAGAAGCGCCAGCCGAAGAACCTCATGCAGGTGGAGGCCGATGTGCGCATCCCCTGTCCTCCTTTTGCCCTGCCCTCCTTGTCTCTCTCTCTCTCTCTCTCTGCCTCCCCTGTGGCCCGGTGCAGCAGACACTCGCCAGGTCGCAAGGCATGCCGACTGACTGATCCCCATGCATGGCCCGGGCCTGCACCACTCTTGGCCCCTTCGCACGCGGGCCTCTCCCTTCTCCTTTCCTCCCCCCCCCCCCCCCCGTCGGCCCTCCCGTTGGCCGGGCCTGCGCAGGTCAAGGCCCATCTGCACGACCGCCCGTGTGCACACCAAACCGAGGAGCACATCGCCGCCTTCCTGGAGGCGGCCATCCATTCCGGGCTGACCAAGTCCGAGAAGCTGCAAATCCTCAACCACCAGCCTCGGTCGCTGGTAGAGCTGCATGTGGTATGTCCACCTCCCCCTGCCCCGCCCGCCTCTGTCTCTCCTCCTCCTCTCGGAAGCGGAGACACTTTCGCCATCTCCACTTGGCCGCCTCGGCGCTGCCGTCACAAGCAGGCACACGCACACACGCACACACGCACACGCACACACCGGAATCGCTGCTAACATGCGCATGGGAATCCCCGCCGGGGCGGGGCGCAGCTCCTCCAGGAGGCCGAGGAGCGCTTCTCCGAAGAGCAACTTGGCCAGATCCTGGCCATGATCCATCAGCACCTGCCGATCCAGCCGCCCTCGGACGCCGAGGATGGCGATGAGGAAGAGGGGGAATACCCCGCCGAGGAGGGGGACGAGGCCGCCGCCGAGGGCGACGCCATGGACGAAGACGAGGATGCCACCGCCGGGCAGGACGCCCACTACGATGGCGAGGAGTACATGGCCGATGCCACGGACGACATCATGTTCGACACCTCCAAGTACCAGAACGACGAGGATGACCTCGCCGACGGCGGCGACGACAACGAGTGAGGAAGTGCGGGGACACTCTCGCCCGCCGCCGCCGCCGCCGCCCTCCGTGGGGGCTTGCCTTTTTCAATATACCTAGAAATGAAAGCACCAGAGGGAGAAGAGCCCCCCCCCCCCCCCCGTCAGATGTGGCCAAGGGGCGCGCGGCGATCGGCGGGCGTCTCGGTCCGCGGCCCACCCGGGTGGGCGCGCTCTGGCGGCGCACCGTGAAGGGGCGGATGCGGGTACGCCCGGCGGGCGTCAGCCCATGGTGCGGGGCGTGATCCCCCATCTACCTACCTCGTGACCACTTCCGTGATGCGGGAATGTCGTTGTGGCTCGCATGGTAAAGGCCCGGGCAGGCTGCGCCCGTGGAGACAAATCCCGCAAGGGGGGAGGGGGAACCTGCCCCAGCAGAGGGGGGACAACAGCGGCGACCCTCAGGCAGGCCCGCGGAACGCTTGCAGTGGGCAACCAGCGGCGTCCCTTCGGGGGGGGGGAGGGGGGGGGGCGATCTACAGGAGCCGGCGGCTGGGTGTCCATGTGCATTTTCATTTACCAGAACGTGCCCGCCCTGCCCTGCCCTGCCCTGCCCTGCCCCCCCGTCGTCCGGAGGCCAAATCCGCGAACGTATGCCAGCTAAGCCTCCAGGTACTGCGACAACCCAGCGGGAAAGGGGGGGGACGGGGGGGGGGGGGGGCAGGCCTAACCATGCGCGCCAGTATCCGTGTGCGGGTGTGGCTGTCTGTGTCGCCACGGCGCACGGGCGAAGGCCGCGGGCCCCGGTGGCCCAGCAGCCCGGAGAACCAGCTAGGGTTAGGCCGAACTGGAGCATGCCCAGAGTCTTAGGTCCTCAGCACGCGCCCGGTCGACCCTCGGGTCCGCGCAGGGAGGGGGGGCAGGGGCCCCTTCGCCTTCGCCCCGGTGCATGTGTTCTGGTGCGTGCGGGCGGGCGGGCGGGCGAGGGAGAGAGAGAGAGAGACCGGCTGCCGGAGGGTGCAATGCCCTGGGGATGCCGGATGCCGTGAGAAGGCGGCGCCCGGGGCGGAGCACCCTCCCCGGCAGAGACCATGTTTTTGTGAGTCACAGCGGCCCTGTTGTCGCCGGATGCCGGGGGGGGGGGAGGACATGTTGGTGCGGGTGCGCCTGTGGCGGGCTCGTGGCGGCCTGGCAGTGCGCGTGCCTGGGACCCTGCTCCATGGGTGGGAGTCACAGGGGGGGGGGGCGGGGCGGGGGGCGACGATGAGTCTTCCGCCACCCTCGGTCAGCCGCGCCCGACGGGACGGGAAAGCGTGCATCTTTGGTGAGGGGGTGTATATTCCGGCATTTTTTATATCTTGCCTTTTTTCTGGGCACCGTGAATGCCTGTGTTGGTCGGGGGGTGCCCGCCACCAGATGCAGCAGCAACAGCGGCAATGGTGCCGGCAGCCGGGGCAGGTGTGTCGGCGGAGCGTGGCCAGACGCGCTGGGGCCGGTGCTCACCGCTGCCCGGGCATGAGGGGGGGGGGGGGGCAAAGGGAGAATGCCGCCAGGTGCTGCTCGTGCAGAGGCACCTGCTCGGGCTCGTTGGCATTGGGGCGCGTGCGTCCTCCGGCCTAAGACCGGGGAGTCCAGTCGCAGTCTGTCCCAGCAGCGAGCCGGGGCGCGGCGAGCCAGGCAGCGAATGCGCTCCCCCCGCCCCGGTATGTGGTGGTGCGGGGGAGGGAGGGGGGGGGGACCGCGCCCACGCATCGGGCCGGTCCGTGTCTGTCTGCCTGTCTGACCGTTGGGTGAAAAGTCCCCCCTCCCTTCCTGGTGCAAGTCAGATCGCCCGCAGACCGAGGCGAGGGATCGGGTCCGACCCTTGTTCCCGCTGTAACACCAGCCAGGCCAGCAGCTGCCAGGAGTGTGTGCGGGGGGGAGGCTCGTCTGCGTCTGGCTTGTCCCTGTGCCCCCGCGGCAGCGGCGAGAGATGCTACCCCGCCTGCACGGGTCTCAAGGCTGGACGGCCGTGTGCGTCGGGCGTGTGCTGTGTGTGCGTGGTGGGGGGGGGGTGGGGGGGGGGGGGGGGCACCCCGGGCGGGGGGTGAAGGCAGGCACATGGGACGCCACCGGCCCCGGCGGGGGGAGGGGGGTGGTCTTCCCCGCCGTTTCCAGGTTCTTTGCCCTGCCCCCGGCCGCGCGCTCTCGGCGCATGTGGGTGTATTTGTGTTTCTTCATCCCCCACACGCCGGGTCACGGCGGGCTGGTCGCTTCCCCGGGCCAGCTGGCTGTTTTCCTTTACACCGCTTCCTTCCTATCTCCCCTCTCTCTCTCTCTCTCTCTCTCTCTCTCGCTCGCATCGTGGGCCACGCATGGGGCAGTCCCCCATGTCCAGTCACACGCGGAGCAGAGCACACCTGTGTGCTTTTGCACCCGCATGCCTGTGCGACTATGTGACGGTGGGCCTGTGGGCGGCCCGCGCGTACGTGTGTGTGTGTGTGTGTGTGTGTGTGTGCCTGGGAGGGGATCAAAGCATGAGGACTCCCCGATTGGCGCGCGCTTCTTCTGCTAGCGGCACAGCAGCAAGGCCCATGTCTCCCGACAGAATCACCCTGGCCCCCTCTCCTCCCCCGCCCCCTTCGCCCCTCTCGCCCCCCCTCCCTTCCCTGAGTCGCCCCCGCCGTCCCCCTCCCCCTCCCCCGCCTCCTGTTGCCGCCGCATCGCAGGTCTCCCTCCTCGCCCCTTGCGGTCGTTCCCTGTCTCCGGTTGTCGCTCCCCACGCGCACGCACACACGCACACACGCACACACGTAGACCCCTGGCCCCCCCCTTTCCCTGCTCAGACGTACCTTGAGTGCTGTGCGTCTCTCCCTGTCGCCGCCGGTCGCCGTTTCCGGGCGCCATGGCGGGCATACACAGCACACCCGCACGGACTCCTCTCTCCCCCTTCTTGCTTCTCCGGCGCATGCCGCGATCTCCTCCTCGCCCTCCGTCCCCCCGGCTAACCGCCCCCCCCCTCCCGCACGCCCCACGAATGCAGAGAGTTCGCGCCGACCTCCCAACAATGACCTCTGCGCAAACCACCCCCCCTGCCGCCTTTGGTATGTGCACCGGCTGTGGCCTCACCGCCCCTCTTGTCCTCCCGCCACGTGCCTCGCCGCCTGCCCAGCCATCCGCTTCTCAGGCTCCTCTCCCCTGACCGCCACCTGCCTTCACTTCCGCCCCCCCCCCCGCCCGGCCGCCCCCAGACGGCGAGTCGTCCCAGGTCGGGCTCCTCGGCAAGCTTGAGTACTTCTTCAGCGTCGAGTGCCTGTCGCAAGACCACAACCTCGGTGCGTATGTCTGGCCCTCGGCCGGCCCTCCCGGCTTTTGCCCATTCACGCGCCCCGCGCGCGCCCTGGCTGACACTCGCGTTCTTGTCTCCTCCTCCGCCGCCGGTGCCGCCGCTCCCGGGGTCCCCCTTCTGCCCCCCCCCCCTCCCCCCCCGGCACAGCCTCCAAGATGGACAACGACCTGTTCATCCCGGTCGCGGAGATCCTGGCCCTGGAGAGCGTCAAGGCCCTCGGCACTTCCGAGGAGGAGATCCTCTCGACCCTGAAGACCTCGGCCAAGGTGACCGTCGACGAGGCCGGCAAGCGCATTCGCCCCAACGAGATCGAGCCCTGCACCATGATTCTGACCGACGTCGACGAGGCGGTCACCGAGAAGGTACGCGCATGGCCAGACATTGGCCGCACCTGTCCCGCGGCCGCCCCCCCCCCCCTCTACCCCTCCTGACTCATGTGCATGCACGTGCGCACGCCTCCCCCCCCCCCTCCCCCCTCCCCACAGGACATCCTCGATCTGCTGGCCTCCGTTGGCTGCACCGAGGTGGCCTCCATCACCACCGAGCTGAACCGCACTCGCTTCGTCACTTTTAAGTCCCCGGCCGACCTGAAGCTTTACTACCGCAAGGTCATCTCGGAGACCCTGCTCGGGAGTCGCATCTATGCCCGGGTCAAGGACGAGAACACCTTCAAGCACATCAAGAACTCCTCGTATGTGCTGGTCCCCAAGCCGGCGGCGGCCGGGGCGGTCGGCGGCAAGTCCGCCGCCCATGTGCCCGGCGTGCCGGTGGCCAATGTCTACAAGAATGGCCAGCAGCATTACTCCTTCCCGACCTACTATGTTCCCTCCGGGGCGGGGTCTTTCGCCGCGGGCGGCCGTGCCGCCGGCGAGGCCGGGTCCTCTTTCACCGGGCGTCGGGGCCCGGGTGGTGCCGGTGGTGCCGGTGCGGCCGGGGCCGGCCGCCGGCCGGCTGGCCAGCGTCGCCAGAATGCCCCCGCCGCTGGTGTGGCCGCCGGCAGCACCAGCACCGGTGCTGGTGCCGGTGCGGCCGGTGCTCCGGCCACCGCCACTCGGCAGGCCTCCGGGGCCGGTGGTTCCACCGGCGGCGCCCCGCGCCCCGGCCGGTCGGCTGGTGGCCAGGCCGCCGGCGGCGCTGTCGCCGGTGCCGGCACCGGTGCCACCGCCCCCCGGTCCAACACTCGCTCGAGCAACCCGCGCGGCCAGGCTGCTGGCGCCGGTGCGGCGGCGGGCTCCGGCACCACTGGCGGTGCTGGTGGCGCTGCGCGCGCCGGTGCCGGCGGTGCCGGCGCCGGCCCGAATGCCGAGCGCCGCAACACCCGCACCCCGGCCAAGGGTGCGGCCGGCGGCGCCGGAAGAGCCGCCAACTCCCAGCAGGCTGCCGCCGGTGCCGGGGCTGGCTCCGGCTCCGGCGCGGCCGCCCCCCCGAAGGCCATTTCTATCACCGCCGATGCGTTCCCCCCGCTGCCTGGGCATTCGGCCACCGCGACGCCCGTCGTGCCGGTCGCCGTCTCGTCAGACCGCAAGCAGTACTCGGTGGTCACTTCGGAGGCGGCCAAGAACCCCAAGCCCAAGCGCACCCCCGGTGCCGCGGCCACCCCCTCCACCTCGGCTTCCACCTCGGCCGAGTCGTCGGCCGCCAGCTCGCCCGCCCTGCCGGCCGTGGCTGAGACCGCCGCTGTCGCGGAGCCCGTGGC